CTCCTGCCATTCCATCCCCTTTAATAACCCTTCAATCTAATCACCTTCTGTTCCATTTATAGAGGGAGAGACTGATTTCCAGAAAAGGGAAATGAACCTCATGTAGGACTGAGTCATTTATTCAGTGTGTCGCTCGTTCTGGCCAGTATTGCTGAGTGTCGGTGCTCCAGTTGTAGATGTCCAGAGGTGGGCAGAACCATACTGTGATCCTGAAGGCATTCCCATACTTACAGGGGCAAGAGAGAAGTGAACGGGCACTGGCCTAGCTATGTGACATGTGTGTCATGGGGCACAGGCCCTGCATGACACAGGCACCATGCACGGAAGAAAGAGGTCTAAGCAGCTCTTCAGAGGGGTCAGAACAGGCTTCCCAGAGGAGATGAGGTTTGAGTGACGCTTCAGGGGTCAGGTGTTGAGGGTCAAGTGGAGAAGGGTAAGGGTGACCTAGACAGAGGGTGCTGCAGGTGCAAAGGCAGCGAGGTGGGGTCCGTGTCTGGGACCATCTGCATTGCCCATGCCTCTACTATGAAGCAGGGCAGGAGGGAAAGGTCAACAGACAAGCCTGGACCTTTGGCCAGAGTCTATTTGTTCTCAATAATAGAGTACTGTCAAACGAATGAACATCACAGAGCCACACTGGGGGCTCCAAAGTAAGAAGTTTGTCCTGAGGATGATGAAGATGATGATGAAGGTGATGAGGATTATGTCCTGAGGATGACAATCTCCTAATAGCCATGAAGAAACACTGGGAAATGCTTTGCATCTGAGTAGTCATCCCAAGGCATCTCCCCATACTGTTTGTTTGTTTTTCATCTCAACCTCCCGATACACTGAGACCATATTACTTTAGGTACCCAAGATCTCACACCACAGTCTGCGGAAAAGCTGGGACCCAAACTCAGGTTTTCAGCCACCCTGGCCAGTGTTCTTTCCTTCCCCTGAAACAAGGTCGGCAGCAAGGGATAGCGATGGTCTGGGCCTGGAGCTCCAGGTCCCTAAATAGCCCACCCAACTTTATCCTTGAGCCACCTGTGTTATGACAAGAGCATCTCCTAAGTAGCTTGGACCTCGGTCAGCCTCATTGCAAGCGGCAGGGCAGCGTATAGAAAGAGCACAGGAGGAGCAGTCGGGCAAGTGTCATTTTCCCTTCTGGGCCTTGAGTTCTGCCCCTGGAAAATGAGGATTTGGACTTAGGTGATGGCTCAGGAGTTTTAGTTCAGATATCAGTGAGCCTCCGTCTGCTTTAGAGAGAAGATGGCAGAACTGAGCAGAGAGGAGCTTGCAGCCTGATCCTCTGAGAAACATAGAGGTCTAACTGTTCTCTCTCTCTCTGTCTCTCTGTGTGTTTGTGTGTGTGTCTTTGTCTCCGTCTCTATCTCTCTGGTCTGTGGGTTTGCATGTTGTATATACATGTGTCTCTCCATCTCTCTCCACCCCCTCTCTCTATCTCTCTCTCCCCCTGTCTCTTCCTTCTCCACATCAGGGACCACCACTTTGTTCTCTTCACAAATAGCCCCTCCAGGCCCTGCCTGGTCCCCTAACAGCTTTCAGATGTGTCTCTGGAACCGTTCTACAATTACAGCTGAGACAGGCAGAAAGTGCATGGCCTTATGACTTTTGACCCAGGCCTGTGAGGTTGACATCTTCCTCTTTTCCACCCCCCAGCAGGGTGCCCTGAGGCCTCCTCCAGCCGGAAGCTTCCATTAACATGTTTGGTTACTATAACAGCACAAATAGAAGCTACCTTTTGGGGAGCAAAGATTGAACTGGGCCCTGTTATTATGATCATTATATCGCTGAGTCTTGATCCCTAACTCATAAGGTATGGATAATTTCACCTTATTGTACAGGTGAGGAGACTGAGGCCCAGAGAATGTGAAGGAACTTCCCAAAGTATACCCAGCCAGCAATTGCAGAAAGCAAGGATTCTGCCTGAGTCTCATAAATTGAAAACCTAAGACTACTTCTTCCTCAGCGTGCTGCCACCCATGCTGCTTGGCTAAGCAGAGAGGGGGTCCCAGACCCTCCTGGTGGACGAAATGTATTGCAGAAGCACCACAGAAACATAAGTGGCCTGTGGGAGAGCAGGGTTGAAAATATTCCAACTCCTCACATTTGAGTGTCCATTCACTATAAGCCTTCCATAGTTCCCTCAGTTGAAATGCATCTCTTTCTCTTCTAACTCCAAGAAAGTATATTTTAAAATGTGTACTCTTGCCTGAATAAGTGCTCTCTATATATGGTCTTTATAAAAATCTTCTACTTACAAGCCACTTTCTCATGTATAACTCCATGTGATCCTTGCAACAGCCATGCACCGTCTGTGAAAGTATCCCCATTTTATTGATGGAAAAACTGAGATTGAGAAGTGAAATGTGACGCACTCAGGTTCACTCATTTACCTAAATGCTTATTGAGTGCCTACAGTGTGCCCAGTACTGTGTTAAATGACAGCAATATAGCTGTTCCCAAGCTGAAGTGTCCACCTTCTGGGACCTGCAGGCTAGGGTGTGGGTCCTGCCTCTGCCACTTTCTAGATGGGTTGGGATGTGGATGGTGAGTGCTTACATAGTGTTACCCGATACTCTTCTCACCCCACGCCCCCACTTTGCCACTTGCTTCCTCTCACATCCAGGAGTATCTTTATGATGTTGTTCCCAACTCTTCCCTTGGCTTTCCAACAATAAGTCACCTCACAGAGCACTTACATTTCATATCTATCCATACTGAACCTGTGAGTCTCCCTGTTACAGGTGCCAGGTGCAGAGAGCTGAAGTCAGCTCAGAGAAGTGAAGTGACTTGCCCAAGGTCACACAGCAAGGAAGTAGAACTGGAATGTGAACACAAGGCCTGGCCATCTTCAAGCCCAGGCTCCCTCTGCTTCCCTTATAGCAAGAAGTTTGGACTCATGGTACCTTTTATTAAAACAACCTTTGAGACATCAGGCCATGGGGTGTCAAAGCTGGGAGGGCCCATGTAGACTACCCAGTTCAGACCCTCTGAGCCAGGCACTGGTGGAACTGGAGCAGCAAAATGGCAGCTGAGAGCAGAGAGTGTGGGTTTTAGAGTAAGACAGACCATAGTGTTGACCCCTTCATTCTCTGAATCTGTGACTTTGGACACATTGCTTAATGTTTTTGCCTTCAATTTCCTCTTCTGAAAGATGGAGAAAGTGAGGGTGATTATTTTAGCACTTTTTCTTAAGATTAGAAGAATATAGGAGATGGCACTACTTCAACATATAATAGTTGGGGTTCAGCAAGTGTGGCTAATGGAATCACATTTGTGCAAGGCTGATATCCACAAACCTGTGGTCAGAAGACAGTGGCTGACAGTGGCTGAACACATGGGCTTTGCAGTCAGACAAACCAAGGCTTATTAACTTGCCAGTCCCAGCAATTACCACGTGATTCTGGACAAGCTGCTTCCCCTCTCTGAGCCTAATGTATGGAATAAAGAGAGTAAGAGTACCTATCTTTTAAGGATTACTTGTGGCAATTAATTACAATAATGTGGGTAAAACCTCTCAGCTCAATGCTTGATGCATATTAAGGTCTTAGCACATATTAATTAAATTGTACAATTAACTCATACTTATTAAATGCCTAATATGTACAATCAGGGCTTTACCATTCTGAAATTTGGCAATCACAGCACATTGGAGTGCTGGGGCAGGACAAAAGAATTAGGGCCACTAGGACTCCAGTCTTTTCTACTTAACACAAGGAACCCTCTATCCATTCCACACTTTACTACCCTTAAAGGCAGTAAAAATGGCTGGCATGACACAGACAGGACACTCAGATGTTTGACTCTCCTATTCAGACCGTTTCTGGCCTCTAAGGTTCACATCCTCTGGAAAGTCCCTCCTGAGCTTTATTTAGACCACAGAACGTGGAGATCTGGGGACATGAGGGTCATAGAGCCTCCTCAAGGTAGAACAGAAGACAAAGCCTGCTCTAGAAAGAATTCTGTGCTCTGGATTAGATCTGGATCTATCAGGTCAGAGTTTTACCAGTTTTTCCCTTCCAAGGCCCCATAGGCTATATCTACTCCCACTGATATAGCAGAGAGCTCCAGGTGACATCATGGAGAGGTGGGGACATGGCTTGCAGCCAGACTGACTCCCAGACTCCCTGTCGTGGCCTTCAAGGTCCCCACTGATGTCACTTTGCTCTAGCCACACTGGCCGTCTATTCCTCCAATCGTCTGGGCTCCTTCCCTCCTCAGGGCTTTCCCACTTACAGCTCTCCCTACCTGGAATGCTCTTGCCCCATGTCTTCCTCCCATAAACCTGTTCTTGCTCATCACTCAGGTCTCAGTGCAAACCTTCCCTCTTGAGGAAGGCCTTCACTGGACCACTCTATATACACTCCATACCCCGCATTAGTGTTTTTCTAACCATTATCTAACTTTTTGTTTACTATTTGATTAGCTTTATGCAAACAGGGACATTAATTCTCGTGTTTGCCTTTATAACCTTAACACCTAAAATAGTTCCTGGCATATAGTTAATGCTCAATAAGTATTAATGCTCAGTAAGTATACTTATTTGTAACAATAAGTATTTGTTAAGTGAATGAATAAAAAAATATATATAAGTGAACATATCCAGCCATATAGGTAGCCAGCCACTGGGACTCACTTCTCAGGCCTTGGACTCAGAGTCCTTGAGTTCAATCCCCTGTTCTGTCCCTTAGTAACTAAGACCTTGGAAAGATACACAATCTCATCTCACTGTCCTCATTGGTGAGATGTGGGTGATAATAAATCCCTGCCTTTTAGGCTTGCTTCATTGTGTTTTAGGAAATGAAGTGCAAAGTGCCCAGCAGGCAGTCCATGCTCAATAAATGCTTTATAATTACCATTCTTTTTCCTTCAGATTATTTCTCCTGCAGCCTGAGCATCGCTGTGTTCTTTTGACCGCTGATTGTGCGTTCCTGCTTGCAATTTCTATGTCAGATCACGGCCTGGTGCTCTGTTTTCTTGCTGTGCTTCAGGTTCACTCTGTATGCTGTGGATACGCGGGGGAGGCACTCAGAGCTCAGCACGGTGACCCTGAGGACAGCCTGTCCGCTGGTGGATGACAACAAGGCAGAAGGTAGGTGACCCCTTTCTTCATCTCCCAGGTAACTCCCGTATTTCCACTAAGTTCTGCCCCCAACAGTCACTCATGATCAAGCACACCCATATGCACATATTGGCACAGGGAGAAGAAAGTGAAGGAACTGAGAGAGCAGGAGGAACGTGGAGCTAAATTAATCAAAGCCATGAAGGAAAAGATTGAGACTAGCAACCGTTTTTGCCAGTGGAAAGACTTGCTCCTCTTTTATAGAGTTTGCCCATGTTCTGACTTATAGGCCAAGCATGGTAGAGTCAGAGCCCCATGACTATATCTTGCCCCTTTGCCTGGGCGTCTTAGGGACTAACCACTTTCTTCCACTTAAGTCTATGCTAGAGCTGGCAAATAGGTGTCACCTTGAAGACCCTGTCACCTTGTTGTGCCCATGGTAGGCATTATTAGCAGATCACAGCACACTGTCCAGTCTAGCCCAGTGGGGGCCTCGGAATACTCATCTTAGAGCTACAGTCAGCGACCATCCATCAGAATCAGCATGCAAGACTAAACCTTCCCGCTGCTTCCGGTTCATACAGTTGCACATGTCAAGCAAAAACATCTGAAAAAATAAAACTAATCCATTCGATCCACCATATACTTTGTTCTTGGGAAATGTGTAAACACGTTTTCTACATTAAGACTAGAAAAATGTGATGGTAGCTCATCAGCTCTGGAAGTCTACTTCAGTTATTTTCCCTCAACAACCTTGCAGTAGAGACATGGTCTCTACCTTTTAGAATTTCACATTATGGGTGGGGAGACAGACATTTCCACAAATGGCTCAATCATAAGCTCCATAATAAATGTTTTATGTGTTACCAGTTATGAGGAGACAGTGAATTATTGCGTCTCAAAGGCAAGGAGATTTGAGATAGTTTCCTGGTAATTTTAAAAATTATTATTTCAAAATGATACATGCACATAGTTTAAAAATAATAAAAGATAAAACTCAGAGCAGAAAATAGGGCAAAGTAAATGTTCCTCTCATCCTGACCCTAAGCCCTCAGATTGTCCTACAGGCAGTAATGACTTGGGGACACATATAGATTTTGATCAGAGTTTCCAAAGCTGCAAGAACGTGCCTTCTGTGCATGATGCATTTAAGTTACATTGATTAGTAGGAATGACTGAAGCAGTAGGAGTGGCCATGAATGACAAGCAGAAGAGTCCAGATTGTCTTTGAAAGGTTTTTGAATAGGAACCTGACAGGTCTGATCACAGAAATGTGTTAGAAATATTGCAGAGGGGAGTGTAGAGATGAGCCCAGGAGAGTTTATTTAGCCCTCTGCACCTGTTTAGATTTTTGTGTTAAATCACAGGCATGATCATTATATTAATAATTAAGCTTGCAATTACGAGCACTAGCTTTGTACCAGCCCTCTGTGCTCAGCATCCACTTTTTAACTCAGTTCCCCCAATGCACCTCCAGAGTAGACCTAGTTATCTCCAGCTGATAGATAAGAGAACTGAACACAGGTAGCCCATGAGATATTCGGGATGGAATCAAGGTTTACCTGCCCCCAGAGGCCGTGCAAATGAACTCCCTCGAAACCGTGCCTTCCCTGTCTCAAGCCATGCTTCTAGAAACCCTTACCTTGTGCCACTGCCCAGTGGTCTGTTTCTGCACTTCTTCCTCATCAGAAATAGCTGACAAGATCTACAACCTGTACAATGGGTACACGAGTGGAAAGGAGCAGCAGACAGCCTACAACACGCTGATGGAGGTCTCAGCCTCGATGCTCTTCCGAGTCCAGCATCACTACAACTCCCACTACGAGAAGTTTGGCGACTTTGTCTGGAGGAGTGAGGACGAGCTGGGGCCCAGGTATGGGTGCATGCGTGTGAGTGGAGGAGCGAATGATTCTTGCTTCTAGTAGACTTTACTGGACCCTTTCCCCAGAGGCTGAGAATGGGCTTTTTCAAATAAATCAGGGCGATAATCAGCTTAGTCATGTAAGGGCTAAAGATGAGAAAGGTGCAGAGAGAATGAAAGAATCTTGAAATTTTAGCTTCTTACACTCCTGGAATGTCAGATAGGGAAGGGACATCGGTGCTCTTTGGATCAGTTATTTTTGAGACTTGCTCATCTCCCACCTCCAGTTTTACAGATGAGACATTTAGGCTCCTTGCAGGGCTGTTTCCTAACCATGATCACAGAGGGGCACAGTGGCAGGGCCATGCTCCCTAATCCAGGGCCTTTCTCACTCTTCCATAAGAAATCTGAGTTTTTCTAGAGTAAATAGCTATGACCTTGACTGAAGTCCATGAGTGACCATGACTAAATAAATTTACGAATTCAACATGTATTGAGGCATTATTTTTTGTCCCCAGCAGTGACTGCATCAGTCACTGTGCAAGGAGCCCATGGATGGTTCAAACAGAACTAAGGTATAGTCACTATCTTCTAGAGCTTCATAAAATAATATATGAAATGATGGTTGCATTTCAAGTCTTGCATCTAACAACAACAGTCATTTAGCAGCCTCTTATATGGTGGTTGCTGACAATGCAATGTAAAAAGGTAGAAATGGTCTCTACCTACATGGCTAGAGACCATTGGCTCCTGGGTGCAGGAAGTTAAACACAAAATTACATAGAATAAGAATAATTAGTGTCATGAGAGAAGAACAGAACCCTTTGGGAACATGAGACATAAGGCATCCGGTCTAGGTAGCCCAGTGAAGGCTACACTGGGGCTGAGACAGAGGCCTAAAGTTCAAGTTGGGGTAAGGTAAGTGGGTGGTGAGGAGAGATGTTTTGGGCAGAGGAACTAGCCTAGGAAATGCTCAGAAGAGACAATGTTCTGAGAGCAGGGGTTTTCTTCTCAACTTTCAATGATTTGCCTGCCACCTTTATGATTTTCACCATCTTACCATACAATATATACTTTATTTGATAATCCTTTCTTCGATTTACTTCTTATTTAAAATATATTTGAAAAGGAAATACAGTATCATCTTGTAAAGAGAAAACCAGCATCATCTACCCTTAATAGAAAATTAAACCTAACCATTCAACACAATGGTACAGCAACAACAAGGAAACAGAACAAAACAAAAAACCAGAAAACAATGTCCTTTAATCCTAGCAGAGCCTGAGGCTGTTCCTTTAAAAGGGAGATTAGCAGGAGAAGTGTTAAAGACACAGCCAAAAACCAGGATTTTCTTTTTAAAGTTATCCAAAGAAGGGGAAAGAATGAAAGAGGTAACCTCACCCCTTTTTGTAAATGTGATTCATTCTCATTTAATATTGGGTCTGTGATCACCTTGGGTACCATCTAAAATCCTTTCCCCTACCCCTGAGGACCTGGGCCTACACTTTGGCAAACACCGTGTTGGGAGCAACTGTAGAATGTCCCTGTAGTTGAAGCAAAGAGCATGACAGCAGGAGCAGGAAGAGATAAGAAGTGGGAGGTTGGCAGGGGCCAGATCCCCACTGCCCTTTAAATTGGGTTAAGGAGTTCGGATTATCTCTCTAGGGTAATGGCAAGCTTTCCAATTTTTTTTTTTTTGTGGGGTAGGGGTGGGGCAGTGATACTATCAGACCTTCAGGGGAGAAAGACCCCTCTGGCTGCAGTTGGAAGCCTGGAGTAGAGGGATCAAGGCAAGAAGGAGGCAGTGAGGCCTAGAGGCTCTGTGATAATAGTTCTGGGGAGACAGTGTATTATTCCAGGCCAGCATGAGAGAGAATTGCATGACTTCCAGAAATACTTAGTGGGCAGCACTTCTTGCTTTAAAACGGTTTCAAATGACTCTATAAGGTATTCCTGCCATTTTTTGAGTGATAGGGAAGTGGAGGTCCCATGGCATTAAATGAGATGCCCAGAGACGCACAGAGTTTGTCATGGAGGCTGTCTTGAGCTCTCACCCGGAGCCCTCACAGCACTTGCCATGGCCCTTCAAGGATGTGAGGCCCTTAAGGGACGAGATGAGAGCTTGGTCAAGGGATAAAGGGATCTAGCCATGGGGCTGGCCTTATCAGTTCTCTTGGGTCCTGGACTTTAACTTTCTCCCTTTCACATGAAAGGAAGGTTCTTTAGATAAAGGCTAAAGGAGGGCAGACTGGCAGGCAGAAGCCCAGAGCCCAGATAAAAGCTGCCGTCATCTCAGCTGCCATCTTGCCTGTGGACAGAGAAGCATCCCAGTTTATCGGGCTTTCCCACAGGACTCAGCGAGTTTGGGTGGAAGCTAAACCAGAGCTCCACTCCCAACTTTGTCTTTACAACCTGCTTGCATCCTTTATGACCCTCCAGGACATAAATCTTCTGGAAAGGCTGCCTGGCCGCCCACAGAGGCAGGGCAGCCCACTTGGTAATGGACTGTGATAACCCGCTAACCCCAGCCAGCCAGTCCCCAGCCTCTGTCGGCCAGCCCCTGCCCATGTCCCCTGGCTTCCTCCTTCTTCGTCTTTCTAGTCTCTTGGAGGGGATCTGAGGTTGCTCCAGCATCCCACACTGGCAGTGGGACTTGGGGAGCTGATTCTCATTTATCTTGGCACTGCCAGTGAACTAACCGGGCGGCCTTGGGCTCTGCCCCTTTCTGGCCCCCAGTCTCTGCAACTAGGAAATTATCAGGATGAACTAGTACAATGGTATTTTTTTTAATAAGTGGAATTTTTTTTTCCCGAAATAAATCTTACACAGAACACTAGGTTGTAATTAGAATGCTACTTCCTCAGAGAATTCTCTAAAATTTCCACCCACCCTTCCTATCACACCCTCATGTCTTAATTCTCTTCCTTATACTTACTAGTTTTAGTGTGCTCTGTTGCTTATGTGTTTACTTATGTTTTATCTCTTTCCCACTACAATGTAAGTTATGCATAGTTAGTGATCCCTTATGTCCTATTCACTTTTGTAAGTAGGTGCTAAATAATTACTTGTTGAATAATTGGATAATGGGATTAGTAAATGTGTGGGCCAGATGACTACAGGGTTGTTCTGGCAGAAGCTTGAGTGGGTGGCTTGGAACCCCACCTTCTGGGGTTCTACACCCCTTCACCCCACCCAACGCCAAGCATCTCTTAAATCTCTCTGAGCTCTCAAGGATCTATAGATCACAGTCGGAAACAACTGAATTCCATGGACTCTAAGGTCTTCTAACATTCTAAAACATACAATGTCCTTATAAATATGAAAAGACTTGAAGAAATCTCACTTCATTAATTGATTGATTAATTGATTCATTTAATGTGCTAATTTTGTGCCAGCCCCTGTGCTCCAGGCTGGAAATAAAAGCATGAAGAAGACAGATCATGCCTTTATAAGGCTCAGCATATAGTGAGGAAAAGACCAGTTGGCAGGCAGTTGCAGTGGAAAGGCGTCTCAGAGCAGTGGTTCTCAAACTTTAATGTCCCTGAGAATCACCCAGGGACCTTGTTAAAACTCAAATTGACTCAGTAGTCTGGAAGAGATCTGAAATTCTGCATTTCTACAAGCTCTCAAGTGATGTCAATGTTGCTGGTCCAAAAAGCATGTGTGGAGTGACCAGGTTCCAGGCACAGATAGCTGGAGCAGCGAATGCAGGCCTGGAGCTCAAAGAAGAACCCCTGGGCAAGAAAGAGAAGGTTGTGCTTAGAGCCAGAGAACAAGCAAGAGTCCTTTAGGTGGAAGGGTGAGAGTAGGTGCTGTCATCAGAAGGAAGAACCAGTGCAAAGATGAAAGAGGGGTAGGCAAGAGAATATATTTCAGCCAGGAAGTATAAACTCTTATTGGAGAAGAGAGTTTGAGGAGAGAGGGAAAAGGAAAAACAAAACAAAACAAGGCTGGATTTGTTTAGCAGGGACAGATTACAATGGCTCTTGTGAGTTCTGTTCAGAAGTTTGTTCTTTCTCCCAGAAGCCACGTAAATGTTTCAAACAGAGGAGAGATTTGGGTACATTTGCTATGCCTCTCAAGGGTTATCAAGTGTGTAGAATTTCAAAGTAGAAAAAGAGAGAGCAAGACATTTCTCCAAAGTCAGGAGTCCAGGGCTCATGTCCTTGCTTTGTCACTTACTTGCTGTGTGACCTTGGACAAATTCCATCCCATTCTGGACCTTATGTATAACATAAAAGGGCTTCATTCCTAAGTACCTCCCAGCTGGGAAGCCAAGGAACCAGAAAGCCCTGAAGGTCACAGAGACCAGAAAACAGGCACACCAGGTGTGTCTTTTCACCTCCAGCCCAGTATGTCTTGTTTCTCAGGGACCCAGGTGGGCTAGAAATGATAAGAGCATTTCCCAGGAACACACTGAGGACTGGTGTCATGGGATGAGCTCTATCAGGATTCTCTTGGCCTATATAGTGACCAAACCCCAAAATGTTTTAAATTCCTCTCTAGATGTGTGGTCATATGCCCCCGCAAGATATAGTGACAAAAGGGTGTCTCTTACCTCTGCCTAATAAATCTGTCAGGCCAGTGTCCCCCAGAGCCTGGTTCTCATGACAACTACAGGTTACTGCAAACAGCTGCTCAAAGAAGACCTGCTGATACCAGCTGTCCTGGCCATAAGGTTCCTATTAGGAACCTACTTGAAAAACTGAGATCATAAGTGGCCAGGGACCAGAATTTTCTCTGGTCAGAACATCCTTGACCACTCATGGGCTTCTCTATACTTTCTGCTATATTTGATCAGATTGATAGGGTAGAGAGAAGAGAGCAAGCACCTGAAGAGATGTTATTTCGGTGAAATTGATCTATCTAGACTAGAAATGGTATATTTATGATGTCAGCCCCTCTGACTTGTATGGCAGACATTGCTAAGAGATCACAGAAATCACCCCAGGCTGGGATCTTTCTCAGCATAGCAGGATATCTGAAAAAAGTTGACACATCCATGGCTGTGT